GAGTTTCTGAATTTCTGAGTTTCTGAATTTCTGAGTTTCTGAATTTCTGAGTTTCTGAATTTCTGAGTTTCTGAGTTTCTGAATTTCTGAGTTTCTGAATTTCTGAGTTTCTGAATTTCTGAGTTTCTGCATTTCTGAGTTTCTGAGTTTCTGAATTTCTGAGTTTCTGAATTTCTGAGTTTCTGAATTTCTGAGTTTCTGAATTTCTGAGTTTCTGAGTTTCTGAATTTCTGAGTTTCTGAATTTCTGAGTTTCTGAATTTCTGAGTTTCTGCATTTCTGAGTTTCTGAGTTTCTGAATTTCTGAGTTTCTGAATTTCTGAGTTTCTGAATTTCTAAATTTTTAAATTTCTGAAAAAAACGAAAAAGAAACCAAATTTTGAACTCTCCACTTGTAGTAAAAATTGGTGTTGTCATCTAGAAAAAACCACCTGCCCAGTTATCAACATTTTGTTTTTTGCATAAGTAGTTTCTTCAGCACCTTGCCACATGTCTTCAAATCAAACAGCCTCACTATCCTCCCTAAATCCAACAGTATTGACATCTCTCATTCGATTCGGTCCCATTGTATACTTCCTTCTCTTGCTGATCACTTTTCCAGTTTATCTCCATGTCTACAGAATGAATCGAGACAACGACAAAAGGAACTCTGCGTTATTTCCGATCATCAATCATTTCTTCGAGTCCACCAAAATTTTCTCGATCCTTTTTTACCTTTTTCTAATGTCCTGGTTGGTGATGGACGCCTTCCTTGAAAAGACGACGTCCGTTGTGGCCAGCCTCGCATACGTTTCTTCTTATTTTTGTTTGTGCTTGCTCGTCGTCATTGCTCAGCACAACAATTTCCTTTTAACACTTGTTTCTGCAATCAGATTTTTGATTTATTTTTGTCCAAATTCCGAAAAACATGTAACGGTGACGGAAAAGAGGTTGAAATGGCTGAAAATGATTGGTTATCCATTTCTTATCATTTTGGACTTTTTTGTATTGGGTACTGTACTTCCACAGGTAACACACAAGACAAAAATTGATTAATAGATTATATATCGAGAAATGGATGTTTTCCAGTGGTCTTTTTTCGTCTTCGATGCCCTTCTAGTCGTCTCTGCATTCTTATACATTCCAATTGTCCACAGTATCCGCGCCGTACGGTATCTCCCTTCAATTCAAGCGAATCAACCTCAAAGATATATCATGTGGCAATTAGTATCGATTTCTGTCATTAAATTTGTCTATATAATTTACATCTGTTTAACTGATGAGCAATCGGAACGATTCGTGTTCTATTTTCGAGTGATCGATGCAATGGCAATACCATTTCTGATTCAAATCTCATATTTGGGCTGTAACCGGAGAACAATGATTACTGTACTTCAATCGTTTAAATGTGGAAATTTCTGGAAAGTGTGCTGTTGTCCGTGTATTGAAACGAATCGAATCGAGCCAGAGGTGGAATTGGCTGAATCTACTGGATTACCATTATACTGATAACCTGTGTTGTTTGTTTTATTTTTTGAAACTACTCTTTTCTCGATTTCAGAGCAGAAATCCCGGCTCGAGACTGTTAAAATCGAGTTTCCCATGCTTTTTTACCCCTGGACACCAATTTGCAGCTCTCTAGCTCAAAATGTCGTAAAATTCTGTGTCTAGTCTGCACCCTACTTGGTGTTTGCAGACCAGACACCAGAGTTTACGACAATTGAAGATCGGTCGCTAAAATTAGAGTTCTTGGGGTAAAAAAGCATGGGAAATTAGATTTTGATAGTTTCAAACCCAAATTTTGACTCTGGAATCTGGAAAACTGCAATTTTGAAGCTTCCAGAGCTAGAACCAGTATTTGAAACTATCAAATTCGAGTTTCCCATGTTTTTTTACCCCTGGACACCAATTTGCAGCTCTCTAGCTCAAAATGTTGTAAAATTCTGTGTCTAGTCTGCACCCTACTTGGTGTTTGCAGACCAGACACCAGAGTTTACGACAATTGAAGATCGGTCGCTAAAATTAGAGTCCTAGGGGTAAAAAACCATGGGGAATTCGATTTCCATGATTTCGGATCCAAATTCCAGCTCGGTTACCTGGAAAACTGCAATTTTGAAGCTTCAAGAGCTAGAACCAGTATGTGAAACTATCGAATTCAAGTTTCCCATGCTTTTTTACACCGGGTAACTAATTTTCAGCGGCCTAGTTCGAAATGTCGTAAGATACGATGTCTTGTCTGCGACTACTTGGTGTTTGCAGACCAAACAAAGAACTTGACGACAATTTGATCTGGAGCGCTGAAAATTGGTTTCTAGGGGTAAAACAGCACGGGAAACTTGATTTTCATGTTTTCAAACACGGTTTTCGACCTTGAAACCTTGAAAATGACAATTTTAATCGGCGAAAGTTCCAAAAATCAAAATTTCAAAAATCGAATTTGCTAATTATTCTGATGTCTGATACCATAAAATTGCAGCAAATACATGTGATTAATGATTAAATGTTAATATCACCTGCTGAATTAAATCTCCCTCAATTTTTGAACGAACAACAATTTTATCCACCAAAAAATGGATTCTTCTGTATTTTCCAGTCTGCCAGAATTTCCGCTCAATGAATGGGCAGATGATTCGATGTCGATTTTATTCATTTACATTTACATTTTTCTTCTTTTTATCATTTATCCCCTATATTTTAATGTACCGTAAAATCTGTATTAATATTGCGCTTCTATTTCAATTGCCCCTCTAATAGACTTGCACCCCTTGAGGGCACTTGAAAAATAGACTTGCAACCTTTAATTGAATTGCCCCCGTAATACAATTGCATTTGCAGCAGTATTGCGGCTCCGCCGGGAGTACTGCACAATTTTTAGTCTGTGACACCGTGACGAACTATTGCACAGTTGTTTTTAGATTTTTTTTAAACTACCTACCTAATTTCTGGTTTATTTTTATTTTTCTTTGTTTTTTAACAATATTTTCCATTTATTGAAGAAGACCGAGAAGACGTGGAAAACGTGTTCGACGTGGAAAAATTGGATGACGTGGAACACGTGGATGACGTGGAAAAATTGGATGAAGTGGAACACGTGGAAGACGTGGATAACGTAGAAGACGTTGAAAAAAATTGATGAAAACTCTAGAAAGAGAAAGCGTGGAGCACACACATTGGATTACAAGCTTACGGTGGAGAAATGGGCAGAATCAAAAAATAACACGGAAAAAATAACACGTGCTCCCATATGGAAGTTCATTTGAATTGGATTCAATTGGCGTGAGAACATATTCCGAAAGAATACATTGTAAGATCATTCACAGGATGCGGATTAAGGCAATTCATTGTTTCAAGAAAGATGGAGAAATCCCAAAAGGCGTACAGTTATTGAAGACAAGACGAGCAGAACGAGAAATGGAAGAAATTCAAGGGATTTTGGGAGATATTGAAATTGAGGAAGACGATGGAGAAGTGAACCATGCCGAAGAAGAAGACAATAACTATGACAGTGACGCCTCGATTTTTTGGTTGCAATACTTTTCTTTTCGTTTTGTTCAATTTGTTACTTTTTTTGTCGATTTTCATAATAAAACTTTTTTTTTCAAATTTTAACCTCAAATTGTAGTTTGAAAAATAGAATTGCAGCCTCTATTTGAATTGCCCCTCTAATAGAGTTGCACCCCTTGAGGTGACTTGAACAATAGACTTGCATGCAATATTAATACAGATTTTACGGTATACCGAAAAAATCGTGAAAATGAGAAGAAATCCGTGATTTTTCCAATTATCCAGCATTTCTTCGATTCTATCAAAATCTTTTATCTTTTAGCGTATTTTTATGCATTCGCAGACGTTTTAATTGAGTATTATATTAAAGTGGAGCCGATTACTGTAGTCTGTTGTTTCGTCCTTCTAATTTGTGCTATTTTGTCCCATTGGATTTCCCAAGTCAACCAATTTCTATTATCCACTCTTGCATTTCAACGATTCCTGATTGTCTTCTTTCCAAGTGTAGAAAAATATGTGACATTCAGAGATTTAAAACATTTCGTTCGATTTCTCTACGGGTTTTTTGTTATTTTTGATTTATTGATCTTAAACGGTAACATAAGTTTGGTAAGTTTTATTGGAAAAGACTAATTTTCAGGGTTCCAGAACTAAAATTTGGGTCTGCAACTATCAAAAACGAGTTTCACACGTCTTTTTACCCCCAATATACTAATTTTCAGCTCTCTAGCTCAAAATGTCGTAAACTCTGGTGTCTGGTCTGCAAACACCAAGTAGGCGCAGACAAGACACCATATCTTACGACATTTCGAACTAGGCCGCTGAAAATAGATTTCCAGGGGTGAAAAAGCAAGGGAAACTCGAATTTGATAGTTTCAAATACTGGTTCTAGCTCTGGAAGCTTCAAAATTGCAGTTTTCCAGGTTACCGAGCTGGAATTTGGATCCGAAATCATCGAATTCAAATTCCCCATAGTTTTTTACCCCAGGACTCTAATTTTAGCGATCGATCTTCAATTGTCGTAAACTCTGGTGTTTGGTATGCAAACGCCAAGAGGGTGCAGCCCAGACACCGAATGTCACGACATTTTGAGCAAGAGTGAGAAAAATGGTTTTCGGAAGTAAAACTTTATGAGAAACTCGATTTTGATAGTTTCAAA